GGCTGCACAGCCATCTGCAACGAACATGTGCAAGATGAGTCAAAGAGAAGAAGACACTCTCGAAAATTGATGGCAGTACTTCAGAGTTCTCCACAAGAACTAAGCCGAAAAAGAGAAAACATAAGCATAAAAATTTATTGAGTGTGCCCTGCAAAAATGAGAATGTAACAATAACAAACAACAAAAATTGGTAACAAAATATATACAGGTAAACTATCGAAAAAATTCACAAGAAGTTGTAAAATTAAAGTGAAACTCTCTTACTCAGATACAATAGCCTGCACTTTTTTACTCGAAGTTAAAATAGAATTAGCCATATCAGTGCCGAATGTATTTTGTAATCGGATCCGATCATATTTGCAATAGAGAAGAATCGAGCTAAACCTGGTTTCACTTTCGCAAGTGGCCATATTGATTAGCTCGCAATAGAGGTCAGGGTGATTTGGTAACTGGTAGAAAACAATTCTTTCCATGCCCTGAAAACACACAAATGGCTTTTTATAAATTAATTATAATTCTTAAATTTTGGAGCGTTATATACGCATAAATGAGACGCCTTAAAACATACCAAATCACAACAAAACTATGAAATCTCGGCAACTGACATAGGTAAATAAACTCACTCTCAAGGTTCTTCTATTGAAATAGTAGTAGCGTTCTGTCACCACCAGAATTTTCTTAATTTTATGGTAGAACAAATCGCGCGCTCTTGTGATCTGGAAAAGTTTGATGAAAGTTAACGCCACATATGACATTTACAATCAAAATCTCTCAAAGTTTATTTGAAAGTCATACCTTTGACTTCGGCGCATACTCGTGGCATGCTACAAAACTTTCCTCGGTCCTTTTGAAATGATTTCGAACTCGCACAAAGTCATAGTAAGATGGTATAACCACGCATGTTCCGGGTAAAAGGCTAGCATTGCACTAGAAATATTGAAAATGTAGTTATGTGCACAAGAAGCTAACAGTAAAAAGCCTCACATAATCTTTGAAGCAGTTGAACCTTGCCACTGCTTGTTCACTAGGATTTTCTACATCAAAACGACGGAATTCTTGACATAATGGGATCTCAATCTGAGAGAGCATCATATAACATCGAATATACTGTGATAGTATCATACCTTGTCTAAAGTTCCTTCACAGGGGTTGTTTTGCATAATCAGCCCTGTGAAGTTCAATGAATGTTCAGACATCAAAGCTGAGAAAAGCTCATGTCTATAGCGAGAAAACAGCAGCAGTTGACAGAAGAATTTTGCCTGACCATCTAAAAAAGTAAGAAGAATAAAAATGAAAAAAGCCCTTTGTGAGACTTACCTATGTAACACTGCCGCACTCTTGAGATATCTGTATCTATTTTTGTTGGTTGGGTATGAATGTGAGAAAAGATGATTGAAATGTGCTCCCAGTTCTGTTGCAACATGATGTCAGCCTACAACATCTCGTAAAAAACTTGAGTTGATATAACGCGTGAAAAGACAAACCTTATCAATAACAGCTATCTGAATGTTAGATATCAGGTGGCTTTCCTTTCCCGCTTCACCATCCAAAATCATACGAAGACCAAGAGGAGAACAAAGAATAAAATCAGACTGCAACCGTCCCAGACAGGATCCGCCAAGAAAAGCATTCAGGTAATCCAACTTACCTTGTCGAAACCCTCATATAGTTTCAAGACTTTCTTGGAAAGAGCAATTCCAACACGGAAACAGTCATCATTATTGCCAGTCATGAGCTCCTACAATGCATACATAAGCTATGCAAACCCAGCACTATTTGTCCTGACCTTGAACTCATCAGGCACTCTCGTTTTGAATTCCGGTGGTGCCTCGCTTTTGAACTCCTCGTCAAATCGTTCCCGACTCCAGATCGAACCTTTACAATCTGCAAGGACAGGTGATGAAAAAGTAAGTTCGATGATGTGATAAAACCATACCTTTACCAAATATCAACCGCTCTAATCGCTGAACAATATCAAACGCATCTTTCTTGAAGGGGCAGAGAATAAGCACAGTAGGTCTCACAAACCCTTGATCTCGACAAGACTCTA